CACACTGTGTTTGACGCGACCGTGTTTCTGCCTCCAACCAAAATATTTCCCAGCAGCAACGCGGACTTTTAATAACAATGACGTCAGCTCAAACTCGACTATTGTGTTGAGGTGTTGGTGACCTCTGCGTGACCTCTGCGTGACCTCTGTGACCTCTGTGTGACCTCTGTGTGACCTCTGTGTGACCTCTGCGTGACCTCTGTGTGACCTCTGTGTGACCTCTGTGTGACCTCTGCGTGAGCGTCGTCGTTTTCTCGTTATAAACTTTATAACTCGTCAGTTTAGTTTCGGCGCGGACACATCGCACCAGGTCAGAGTCTCTGACAGGGACAGGGCCTGCTCCTGTCTGCTCCTGTCGTCTCCTGTCGTCTCCTGTCGTCTCCTGTCGTCTCCTGTCTAACAGCCTAAGCCGCTGACGGAGCCGATTCGGTCCATCTTCATCCCGAAACATCCTCTTCCTCCGCCCACCGCCCACTTCCGGCCCCGCCTCCACATGCGGCCCCGCCCCTGCACCAGGTCCAGCAGCAGGCGCGGGCTCTCGGCCAATGGGAGCGCGGCGTGGGGGCTCCGGGCCAATGGGAGCGCGGGGGCGTGCGCGAAGGGGGCGGGGCCCGCTGCAGAGCCCTCTGTGATGTCACGGTGAAGGGGCGGGGCCAGGATCAGCGCGGAAAGACGAGCGCCGAGTTTGGAACGAAGCGTCTGAAAAACAAAAGGACTCAGTCCTAACGAATACTACATGTACTTTTACACTCATGTAGTACTTTTACACTCATGTACTTTTACACTCATGTAGTACTTTTACACTCATGTAGTACTTTTACACTCATGTACTTTTACACTCATGTACTTTTACACTCATGTACTTTTACACTCATGTAGTACTTTTACACTCATGTAGTACTTTTACACTCATGTAGTACTTTTACACTCATGTACTTTTACACTCATGTAGTACTTTTACACTCATGTAGTTTTTACACTCATGTACTTTTACACTCATGTAGTACTTTTACACTCATGTACTTTTACACTCATGTAGTACTTTTACACTCATGTAGTACTTTTACACTCATGTACTTTTACACTCATGTAGTACTTTTACACTCATGTACTTTTACACTCATGTAGTACTTTTACACTCATGTACTTTTACACTCATGTAGTACTTTTATATTCATGTAGTACTTTTATACTAAAAATACTACAGGAGTATAAAAGTACTTAAGTAAAAGCATTTTTTGCAGTTGCAGATCTGAGCAGAAACAGAAACAGAAACAGAAACAGAATCTGCTGAAGTTTTGAAAACAAAATAAAAACTCAGACTTTTCTATAGAAGCTCAAATCCACCAGGAAATACAAATAAAAGCCTCAAAGAAACTCTGAATTATGACTTTTAAACTCTGAATTATGACTTTTAAACTCTGAATTATGACTTTTAAACTCTGAATTGTGACTTTTAAACTCTGAATTGTGACTTTTAAACTCTGAATTGTGACTTTTAAACTCTGAATTATGACTTTTAAACTCTGAATTGTGACTTTTAAAGCTCCAGATCATTTTAATTAATTACATAAATTTTCATCATGTAAATACTTTTACTTTTCTGTCCTGTTCAAAGAAGTACTGCAGTACAAAGTACAGATGCCTGCTCTCTGTAGTACTTTTCTACTCCTGTAGTACTTTTATACTCCTGTAGTACTTTTACACTGTGTAGTACTTTTTCAGTGTGTAGTATCAGAGGTAGTACCTGGTGTGGGGGGGCGGGGGCGCTGTGTGCACACACACACACAAGCAACACAAACGCACAACACCTCATCTGAAACACACAAAACACAAGATTAAACACAACAACACAACAACACACACACACACACACACACACACACACACACAACACACACACACACACACACACACACACACACACACACACACACACACACACACAACACACACACACACACACACACACACACACAACACACACAAACACACACACAACACACACACAACCACAACACACACACACACACAACACACAACACACAACACACACACACACACAACACACACAACACACACACACACACACACACACACAACACACACACACACACACAACACACACAACACACACACACACACACACAACACACACACACACACACACACAACAACACACACACACACAACACACACACACACACACACACACACACACACACACACACACACACACAACACACAACACACACACACACACACACACACACACACAACACACACACACACACACACAACACACACACACACAACACACACACACACACACACACACACAAACACACACACACAACACACACACACACACACACACAACACACACAACAACACACACACACAACACACACACACAACAACACACACACACACACACACACAACACACACACACACACACAACACACACACACACACACACACAACACACACACACACACACACACACACATACACACACACACACAACACACACAACACACACATACACACACACACACACACACACACACACACACACACACACACACACACACACACACAACACACACACACACACAACACACACACACACACAACACACACACACACACACACACACACACACACACACACACACACACACACACACACACACACACACACACACACACACACACACACACACACACACACACACACACACACACACACAACACACACACACACACACACACACACACACACACACACACACACACACACACAACAACACACACACACACACACACACACACACACACACACACAACACACACACACACACACACACACACACACACAACACACACACACAACACACACACACACAACACACACACACACACACAACACACACACAACACACACACACACACACACACACACACACACACACACACACACAACACACACACAACACACACACACACACACACACACAACAACACACACACACACACACACACACACACAACACACACACACACACACACACACACACACAACCACACACACACACACACACACACACAACACACACACACACACACACACACACACACACACACACACACACACACACACACACACAACACACACACACACAACACACACACACACACAACACACACACACA